AAAAAATATTTTGGGGACGGAAAATATAAAAATTGATTAAAAACTTATTTTAACCTTAATTTTAATCTTGTGGGAAAGATAAGAAAACAAATAATAATAGTGTACTCTCACAAAACAATTTTTTTTTTTTAAGGCGAAAAAGAAAAGTAGGAATTTTATGTTCCTTTCTGCACTATTTTTTTATAAGTATATGCCTGTTTATATTTAACATCAGATTATGCTTCGCTGCTTAAAGCTATAGACCGAAATTAAAATGATATTTCAGAAGCCCCTTTCTTTATATGGTATTCAAAACAGTTAATAGAAAAAATATCTATTTCAAACATGAAACCGGTTGATTTTTAAAAATACTTTTTTCTAAAAAAAAACATAACATTAAAATAGAGAAATTATTCTTTGCTGTTTTAAACTCCATATTGTCGTATTATGAATCGATTTTCAACTTTAAAATTGAATAGGAAGAAAATATTAATGATAATAAAAATTATTTTTATTCGTTTTGTACATTTTGGTGTTAGTCGTACTGTTCTATCTTTAAAACCAGTAATTGAAAAAAAAATCAGTTAAAAGTCACATATATTTTTTTTCTGGTTTTTCTAATTTATAATGAGCAACACTGGTGCAATTAGCCTTTAATTTCAAAAATCCCCACCCTGAAAAATTTCAGAAAATTATATTAATGAAAAATATATTATTTAGAATAGGAAAAATTCCACTTTTGCTTCAATTCAAAACTGAGACGGTATTAATTTTACTATTAAGTATTTTTTTTTTTGTTTCTATTTCCACTTTTTCTCAACTCTCACTGAATCTATTTTTTTCAACGATACGTCAAAAAATCACACATTGTATTTGGTCGAAGACATTATCTTAAAAAATTGAGAACATTTTCCTCATTCCCCATAAATGGGAGAAATCTAAAAAATCAGTAATTTTTTTAACTTTTTTTTCTTAAAACTCCCAATTATTTTTAAAAAAAGAAAAAATCGACACATATATATATGAGTATATATTTAGATACCTTAAATAGTTGCCATCATTTGGTATTTTTTTTGTAAAAATCTTACTCTATACCTGTCCATAGGGGGACATTTTTAATTTTTAAAAATGTTCATACTAACACTTTTTTACATATCTTAAATTAAAAGTTATTTAATTAAGTTACTTGAATTTGAAAAAAAAAAACATTCGACATCTGGACTTGTCTTTATAATAAAAATAGCTGCCGTTTTCAAACAATTCTTGATTTTATATTAGCTTCGATGCGAAGCTGAGAAGGTATTGGTTTTACTATAATTTTATGATTTTTTTTTTTCTTTTGGGTCTGTTACCACTTTTTCTCAGCTCTTATCGAACCGATATCTTTTAACGATACGTCAAAAGATCACAAATAGTATCTAGTCAAAAACATTACCCTCAAAAATTTCCCTAGTTCCCCGTAAATGGGGGAAACCTCCAAAAAAATTACAAATTTAAAAATCGCTAATTTTCGAAATTTTTACAAAAAATTAACTTTTTTAACTTAACTTTTGAAAGTGTTCCGGAAAGTCTGACACTTTTATATATATCTTAAATTAAAGCTAATGTAATATACTTTATTATGAAAAAAATAAATTTGACCTCTGGACTTGTCTTCGTGGTGAAAATGGCTACCGAATGCTATTTTCGTGTGAAAATACTTGATTTTATTTTTTACATTTTTAACTTTATAATGCTATAACTTATTGAAAAGTGTATGGATCAATACAATTTTTTTATGAGAAATAATGTTTCTATCCCTCTTTCATTTGACATACTTTATCTCAATCAGGTTATAAATAAGGAAATAGCAGATCATGTAGCTTTTTCAATAATCCACCAATTTTTAAAAATTAAACACTATCTAAAGATTTGCATCGAAGCGTTTTTTTTTTATAGTGATTTTAATCACTGTCAGATATCATTATACTTGATCCAACTATGCCACGTCACCACTGTGCCGTGACCCCCCTGTGCTGGGTTTTTTTAACTTTAATCTGATATAACTTTTTAAAAAATGTATGAATCAATACAGTTTTTATGATAAATACTATATATATATACCTCTTTTATTCGACATACTTTTTAATTAAACTACATACACAGCGTATAAAGACACACATTTTTTATGAAATTTCGAATTCAGCTTAACTGTTATTTTGACTAATTAACTGAAAAAAAGCTAAGTTATTTCGACGAAAAATTAAAATTAAGTTAAAAAGTTTATTAGAAAAATAACTAACTACTTAAGTTGAAAAGTTAAAAAAATCAATATTTCAACTTAATTTTAACTTTTTAACTAATTAATGCGACTATTGGATATGAAGCATATTTGAGATTAGTATAGATTGATATCTGTTAGTGATTAAAATCACGATCGTATAATGCCTCTATACATATGTGCTTGAAGATCTTAACTGACCGATTACTCATAAAAAATAAGTTGTCGAACACTAGATGTAGTAATTTGCTGTATTTAGAATAATAACATATCAATTTAACAAAAATAATTTGCTCTGGGTATCTTTCTTTTTACGTCCCTTATTATGCTCTTAAATATTGATCCTAACGTACAGATTTTTTAATGTATCCAAGTAAAATGTAGTATTACGCTGTATTTTACCAGTTAATTTTAGTACTTTACATATAACTATAAACACATTAAAATAAAATTATGATATTCTACAGGTAAGAAGATATTTACTTATTAATTATTGATATGTTTCACTATTTATTTCTAGCTTGAGGTAAGAAAATCTCTTCTTTTCAAATCAGTTCGTATTCATTGTTTCATTAATTCGAACAAATTAACAGTATTCAAGCTTTTATAAAAGAATCGATGTGATTAAATTTGTCAAAAATAAAATTTACCTTAAAATGTTCAGTTAGGTGTAACTATAGATTTCGTGGAACCTGTGTCAATGTGTTCATTCAAAGTGTTATTTTATTATCATGTATTATTCAATCATTACACAACAAATCAAACAAAATATAAATGTTAATATTTTTTCATTTTTTAGAAAAAAAAATAATAATGAACTATAATTTTAAAATAATTTGTATTACATGGCATAATGTTGTAAAATTTAAATATTCTCACGTTTTTTGAAGAGAAATTTTTAAATATTTTTCGTCGAAATTATTGTAGAAAAACAATGTGTTTTCTTTACTACTCATTACTATAAAATATTGAGAGTGAGAGGAGGCAGTGTTAAATCCAAGTATACAATAAAAATTTATCATTTGAGGCTAATATTATTAAAAAATTACGGATACGTATTTCGAGAACAATGTTACCATTATTGAAGCTAAACACAAACTGCAAGTGTACTGTAACAATTTTTTTTAGCTTCGATGCAAAGCTGAGATGGTATTAATTTTACTATGATGTGTTTTTTTTTATTTATTTATTTTTTTGTGTCTGTTTCCACTTATTCTCAGCTTTTACTGGACCAATATTGATGAACAATACGTCAAAAGATCATAAATCGTATCTAGTCGAAGACATTACCCTCAAAAATTGTAAAAAATTCCGTCTTTACCCGTAAATGGAGGAAATACCCCCCAAAAATTACAAATTTAAAAATTTATTTTATCAAATAAAAAGCTTTTTATTTCTAATATTATTTAAATTTTATTGTCGAATTAGGTTTGATATGATAACAGATTTCAACTAGAAATTATATTACTATGATTTCTATTTAAGTGATCTATTACGATAAAAATGCAAAAAAATATTGATCTTTTCTAATAAATTTACTGTAAATAGTAATTATAAAATTTTCTGACTGCATATTAGTTTTAACAATACCATTTTTTTATTTCTTATAAAGTTTTTTTATTTAATGATGTTAATTTCAAACTTGCAAGTGGAGCTAAAAGTCATGGTAATAAATTTAACTTTTTTTACTATAAATTTTCACAAAAATCAACTTTAAAGGACGAAAAAAGTAGGTTAAAATTAATATTTAGCAATGATTATTTTTAACATATTAAAAATCTAAATGAATAATAATTTAAAACAATTTTTTTTTCGTTTTTAATTATTTTTTTATATGTAAATACTCATTTTTAATAATAAGTAATAATATCAAAACTGTGATAGAAAAAGTCTAATTTTAGATTTGAAAACTGTGAGTAAAGTTGATTTAAAAAATTATATTTTTGATTCCGATGAAATTTCCTTGTTGATTAATGCAATCATTCATAAGTAAAAAAAAAATTTGTATACATGTTTATCATAGAAATGACAAAATAAACTACTTATCATGTTTTATTATTTCTCCGTAAAAATTACAATATTTAAAATCACTGTCATATTTCATCTATACTCATCCCGACTATTCTATATCCATACTGTGCGGCACAGTCTGTGCCACTGTGCTACGTTTTATTTTTTGTAGTAGTAGTAATTTCATCAAAATATGGTAACATTTATTTTCTCCTTACATTTCTTACACCAATGCATAGAGCTACTTAAAAAAAAAAAATTGTGAATTCAACACTGATGGGAAGTATTTTGACCTCCAAAATTAGTTTGTGTAAACGTGCAATAATATTTATTATAATTATCTAAAAATACTGATATGTTTTTGTCTACATAATTAAGCTAGATATTTTATTTCAGTTACAGAAAAATTGATAAATATGTAATTGTATATCTCTTATCAGTTATGGTATTAAACTTATATATATTTTTCGTTTTTCTAAAGTTTATTTATTTCAAATTTTAAGTTCCTGTCTCTTCAACATTGTCGGGTTGGTCTGACATTTTTTTAATCTCATATTTTGAATTGGTCAAACAAAAATTGTAAAGATTAAATATAGTTTTAATAGTTATCTATTTTTTTAAAATTTTTAATACCTTATGTTTGCATTAAAATAAAAAGTAACAACACTACACTCAGATTTTATATTTTGTATTTAATATATATTATATATATATATACAAATTAATATATATATATATTTTATTTATTTAGGTGGATTTAGAGCCTCAGGGAAAACTGCATCTTCGTATTGATTTAAAATGGAACTCCAAAGGTAAAGATAACCTTTATAGTATTTAATTTCAAAATCTTTAGTTTAAGATTTTAATAATATATATACATCTATTTTACTTTTCACATGTGTTTTAATAAAGAGTATTAAATGTTTGAAAATACTTATTTTTTTTATAGATTTACCTACTCGTCCTTCAGAGTTCAAAGAACGTCAAGGTTTATTAAATCGAAGACGAGGTGCTATGAGGAGAAGAGTTCATCAAGTTAACGGGCACAAATTTATGGCTACATTTCTCAGACAACCAACATTTTGTTCACATTGTCGTAATTTTATTTGGTAATATTAAGTTAATTAAAAAAAATAACAGTTTTAATTTCAAGTAAAAATTAATTTTTTCTAAAATTATACTTATTTTTTTTCAGGGGATTTGGAAAACAAGGTTATCAGTGTCAAGGTAATAGATTTCATTCATATTAAAATTATTTATTTAAAATAAATTAGCAAAAAGTAATTTGGCTCTCAATTCTCAACTCTATAATAAATGTATTATTTATGTTTTTATTTAATTATGGAAATAACTACAATATATTATTTTAATTAAATTAATCTTCCAATAAAAATGATACAATTTTCTTTTGCATGTAAATTTGTCTTAAAAAATTTATTTTAAATAATTTTTCAATAATTTAGTATTTCTTTACAGTTTGCACATGTGTTGTTCATAAACGTTGTCATATGGAAGTAGTGACAATATGTCCAGGTTTTGGAAAAAAAGAAGTGAGTATTGTAAATTAAAATAATAGGAGGATATTTCTTAATAATACATATATAGTAGGTGGGCAACTAAGTTCTCGCTGTTTGTCAATAGATGGGTCCAGCATTAAGTGCTGGTTGATTTTGACATTTCTAAAATGTCATTAACCAAGTTGAGACATATGGTAAAAAACCCCTTTGTTAGTGATTTTAATGTGGTGTCATATAATTTTAGTTCTGTGAAAATATCTTTATGTGTCAAATATTTGTCATTTGCGGAAAGTTTTTCTTTTCTTATTTCTTAAGAATTATTTTACAATGTGTTGTGATTAGTTCTGCTATTTAAAGAACGGTGATTCTGATGTTGATGACTAATGTTGAAGGAATGCCAAAAACCTACGAAGATGCTGAATTAAAGAAATTGCTTGATGAGGATCGCAGAAACACTAGGCTTTGGTATTAGGAGTTAACCACCTAGCTATCTTCAAATGATTTCATGCAATGGGAATGATTCAATAGCTAGCAATGGGCTATACTTTGAATGATTTACGTGTAATTATTTTTTCACAATAAAGTTGAATTTTTATAATAAAAACAGCGAGAACGTAGTTGCGCACCTAATTTATATAATATTTCTCTTATCTCTCTTAGACATATAAACTTGTAAAAAATCATATGATTCATAAAGTACAAAAAAATAAAAATTACTCTAGAAAAAATATTAAAATATTTTTTATTTAAATTTAATTGGAAATAATATTTTACAGCTGAATCAAGGTAATCAATCTCAACGGTTTAGTGTCAATGTTCCTCATAGATTCAAACCACACACTTATAAAATATTTACATTCTGTGATCATTGTGGTTCTCTCCTTTATGGCATTTATAGACAAGGTTTACAATGTGAAGGTTTGTTAATGATTACTCTAACAATATTTAATTAAAAATAAAATCTCAATTAAATAGAAAAAGTAATGAAGTTATAATTGAAGTGTTTCTGTCTAATTTTTATGGATGATACATATTATTTCTATCTCACTTTTTTTATGAATAATATACCCCTAACCCTGTGGATAGGGGATAAGAATACTTCCACTGTCCCTTGGCCTGTCGTAAGAGGTGAATAATAAGGTAACATCAAATCAACAGTCAGTGTAAAATTTTGTCAAAAAGTATGAGGAGTCCTGAATAGGCCTCATGTGGATAATCTATCTGCCTAGGTTACTTGACTTCGTGTCAAGTGGAAGTTTAGAATAAGAGTGGCCAACCCCAAGTAGTTGTCATAAAGAGAAAGAAAAAAATAGTTTTTATGTTTATTCCTTATGCCTTACCATAGAATCACCTTTTTTTTTTTAATCAGAACATGTATAGTATATACAAGATTATCTATTAGATAAGTATCTAATTGAATCAGTATTTTGGAAATTATTAACAATTTAAAGCAATGTCTGATGGTGAGCCACAGATTTTTTTTTTATCATTGGATATTTCTGGACACCTAAGTAGGCATAGAAGTATTAATAACGTATGAAAAACTGGTCCAGAAATTGTTATTGGTTAGCTTTCTTTTTAATTAGATGATCATTATGATAAATGACTATTATTAATATAAAAGCTAGTTCAATGTGTATGTTCATATTTAGAAAAATTAAACTTATACCTATACAATAAATAAGGAATGAACATAAAAATGTGTGCATGATTGATAAATTGAGATTTACTTTTTTTAAGTAATGATTACAGTGGATTTTTAAAATTTTAGTTTTTTTTAACATTGATTTCCTGTTTCTGAACAGAAACAGATTTTCTAGATGTCTGCTAGACATCTAGAGATGATAATAATCCAACAGGGAGCTGACGGCGACACACACACACTATTTCTGTGGTAGCTAATTTAAATTTAATATAAGACAAAAGAGTAATGGTTGCGATGATGGTAAATAGTCAACTGTTATTTAGGATATTAGTATTATAGCACAGTAGACGTGAATTCCAAAAGTGTTTATGTGTGCAGTCTGCCCTTCTGTAGTAATACTTGTCACTGTGTCAATGATGTAAGCCTAGTCGGCATTACAATGATGTAATATATATTTTGTATCACATATATGTGATTATATCATTACTAAAGATAACAGTTATTTTTAAATTCCAATTATCTCATAATTAATTTTTTGTTAGCTCTAGGTGCCTGATGTATGATTATGATTAGTTTAGTCTGTCTTGAACAATTAGGAACTTTATATTATGTGGTATTGTAGCAACAACCCCAATATAAATAAATAAATCAAATATATTAACAACCAATTATTTTAGTATATTAACCATTTTTAATAAAAACTTCAACTACAAAATAAAAATCTTGTTCCATTTAATAACATTGTAGAACATTATTAAAATATTAAAATTTAAATGTGATTTATTAAGAATATTATCCTAATTTTCATTGAATATTGATTTTATCATAAAAATGTGTGAAGTAAAAAATTTGTTTTATTTTTATGAACCATAATATTAAGTTTATTGTAATAAAATATTTCTTCGGATAAATGTTATGTGTAAAATTCAAAAGTTAAATAGGAACCTGTTATTTTTAATTATTAGATAAAGAATGGTTTCAATAATTTCTGACTAGTTTGTAATTTTATAATTTTCATTTTTTTATTTGACAAACTTAAATATTTACTATAGTTTATAAAAATTAATCAAATTTAAAATAATATATTTTTATGAAAAAATCATTATTCAACAACAAATTGGTAAGTGTTATATTAATAAATTACATAGTATATATTTTTCTAAAGTTGTATGAAAATCCTGTAAAAGTTATACTTTTTTCTGTGATTAATTTTGTTAAATTTTATTTCTAGTATGTACATTAAATGTGCATAGACGTTGTGTTAAAAATGTTGCAAATAACTGTGGTATTAATCCTCGTGAGATGGCTGATACTTTACGAAGTTGCGGGCTTAATCTCAGTAAAAATGTGGTAAGTTATATTTTAAAACCATAATTAGTTATTATTTTAAATTTAAGATCAAGAAATACTTCAATTAATTAAATGTAATATTCTTATATAGGACTGGCCTGCTGGAAATGGTAGTTTTAGTATAAGCAGTGGTAGTAGTGGTACTAATTTACACCGTGATTTAAGTCATCAAGCTTCCAATATTTTGAATATCATGTCAGAAAAGCATTCCCAATCAGAAACTAATAAACGCATTTCAGAAAAATCTTCAAAAAGTAAGAGAAACTCTCTTACCTAAATAACCTTTAAATATATTTGATAAATTAAATGGATAAAAAAATAAAATGAAATATTTTTAGTGAATCAAAGTCTAAGCTGTTATAATTTGAATAGTCGTAAAATGAATGTAACAGATTTTACATTTATAAAAGTATTGGGCAAAGGTAGTTTTGGTAAAGTTATGTTAGCAGAAAAGAAAGGCACTGATGAAATCTATGCTGTAAAAGTATGATAAACTTTTTTAAGATTAGTTTTGCTAGATTTTGTTAATTATTTATTTTATAATTTTTTAATTTTATTTGTATTTGTGTAGGTATTGAAAAAAGATGTTATAGTGCAAGATGATGACGTTGATTGTACAATGACTGAAAAACGAATTTTAGCCCTTGCTGCTAAACATCCTTTCTTGACTGCATTACATTCTTGTTTTCAAACTAAAGTAAATACTTGAAATTTATTTGTTTTTTAACATAATTTTTTCTATAATTATTTATTTATAGGATCGATTGTTCTTTGTTATGGAGTATGTAAATGGGGGTGATCTTATGTTTCAAATTCAACGTGCAAGAAAATTTGATGAGCCTCGAGCTAGATTTTATGCAGCTGAAGTAACATTAGCTTTACAATTCCTTCATAGACATGGTGTTGTTTATAGGTAATTTAATTAATATTCTAGAAAATAATGTTTTAAAAATAAGATTTTTTAAATAAAACTTTAAAACCCATTTTTCATTAATTTAAATGGTTGATTTTTTTTTTGTATCAGAGATTTAAAATTGGATAATATCTTATTGGACAATGAAGGGCATTGTAAACTTGCTGATTTTGGTATGTGCAAAGAAGGCATTGTTGATGGTGTTACTACTACTACATTTTGTGGAACTCCAGATTACATTGCTCCTGAAGTATAAATATATATATTTTTTTTGATAGATCATTTTATATTAAAAAAATAAAAATATGTGTCTGGTAATATTATTTTTTGTTTTTAAGATTCTTCAAGAGTTGAACTATGGTGCAAGTGTTGATTGGTGGGCTTTAGGTGTATTAATGTATGAAATGATGGCTGGACAACCACCATTTGAAGCTGATAATGAAGATGATCTATTTGAATCAATTTTACATGATGATGTTCTTTATCCGGTCTGGCTGAGTAAAGAAGCAGTCTTAATTCTAAAAGGGGTACTTATTGTTTAATAATCATAAAAATATATAGGTGTTCAGTAAATAAGGAAACGGGGGTTTCTATTCTTATTGTTAGTGAAAATTGACTTGTTTCCTTACTTACAGAACACCTTGTATAAAACACTTCTGTATTAAGTACACTTTCAGTGATATTTCAGGAGTTTCATAAATAATTTTGTACTACATAAAGATCATTATTAGAGAAACATTTTTTATTAAAAAAAGAGGCTTTAATCTATTATGAAACTACAACAGAATATCATAAATTTTACTAGTTCATAAAAAATTGCAGTCTAAAATATGTTTTCTATATCATAACTCAACTAACATAAAAGTCACCTTAAAATTAATACAAAATAATTGATGTATATGAAATAAATTATTTCTTATAGTTTATGACAAAAAATCGCAACAAACGCTTAGGTTGTGTTGTGGCTGATGGTTTGGAAGCTGCTATAAGAATTCATCCATTTTTCCGAGAATTGGATTGGGAAGCATTAGAAAGTCGACGAGTTAAACCACCATTTAAACCAAAAATAGTTAGTATTATTATCATAAGATATATGATGAAATAAAATTAGTTTAAAATTAAAATACAGAATGATTTTTTTATCATAACTCACTCAATTTCTTATAGAATAAAAATAATTTAAACAATTTTTTAAATTCAAAATATGTGGTCCTTTTAAAAAAAAACTAAGTTGATACCCTTACAACGAATAAGGGATGAACTTAAAAATTATTACATAGCTAATAATTCAAGAATAAATAAAAATAAAGGTAACCAAAAAAAACGTGTTTAAATTTTTTTTATTCTATAAGTATAATTGAGTGGGTTATAATAAAAATATCACTCTGTATAAATTGGACTTAACAGTCACATAAATAATTTTTTTTTTTGAAAATAAGCAAATATTTTTGTTTGTTTTATTATTTTAAATTTATAGCATCAGTTTAATACAAGTTTCAAAAATTAATTCCATATGAAAAATAATTGTAAAATTGAGTCCTAGACTAATGTTGCTTTTTAATAAATGTTATTAAATAGCATAAATGTCTATATTTTTCTTTGTATTATCGAAACGGTACCACATTTCCCTCAGCCAAATACTACATTATTTAACCTAAACAAAAGTTTATCGATATATAAAAAATAAGTGGACAGTAGCGTAGTGATAATGTTTGTTTCTACAACGCTTTGAGTCGTTGTAACTAATCAATTTTGTAATGTGCCTCATTTTTTTAATGTAATATCCAGTACTATTCTGATGATCATCTATCAATCTTTGGCAGCTGTATCACCATAAAATATAGATTAAAAAATTCCAATTTTTAAAAATTATTTATAAAAAATACTCTAGAAATTCAACTATGAAACATTAATAAGAAATTTTTTTATACAATTTATTTTACAAAATGACTTAAATATTTTTTTCATTAATGAAAGAATATTGTTTATTTTTCTAAAACAATAGACTGAAAGTCTAACAATTTTTAAAAAAAAAGAAAGTAACGTAAAGTGTTTACTAGATTAAAAATTATTGAATTTTTCATATTTTTGTGACTCACCTCTGTATATGTTTTGTGTTAAATATATATATTACATTATTTTCAAACATAAATAATTGTTATTTATTCTTATAATAGAAAAACAAAAAAGATGCTTTGAATTTTGATGCCGAATTCACGAAAGAAGAACCAGTTTTAACTCCTGTACCCGTTGATGTTACTCTATCAATTAATCAAGAAGAATTTCAAGGTTTCTCTTTTGTTAATTTAGATTTCAACCCTAGCAAATTTATTTCTACTACAATAGACAATTCTAATAAACATACTTAATTTTGGTAAGTTCAAATTACATATAATAGAATTTTTTTTTAAAAATCCAGGAAAAAATTATAACTTAGTCATAATTAGTGCTCTGGACTTTATACATTTATAAAATTAATTTTAGGATTCTTGAATATTTCAATAAAATATTATTAAAAAATAGTTTAATTTTATCATGAACTATCAAATATTTAAATAATTTTTATTGAATAGTTTTAAAACTATTATATAATTATATGTTGTTTCCTCATCCACACTCGGTTTTTTAACCTAACAAAAGTATATAAAAGTTATATTTTTGCATATTAATAATATGATAACATTGTATTTAGGTTACCGATTAAAATTCTATGTTGTATTTTTTCTACTTATTTTCCATTGTTCAAAAACAGATTTAATCAACATAATATTATAATATTATTACTAATAATTTGTTTGATAACATGGGTAAAAGGTTTAGTCAATTTTTTCTACATATTGAGGTAATTTCTTTAAAAGTTAGAAAACACACACTTATTTTAGAACTTTCCTTTATAACCAAAAATTAATCTGCATTTATATTCTGACCTTTTCTACAAGACTTTACTTAGTTAATTTTTTACTCTAGTTATAAATAGCTAAATATATTTAAAAATATTTATCTAATAATATAACCTAATAATAACTATTATCAAATACTTATAACTCCCACAAAATTTTATTACGTAATCATTGTTTTTTAGAGCTTATAACTGGTTAAATTATCAAGTAAACAATCTGAAGAAATGGATGAATGTTTCTATTTATATAAGACATATATAGTTTCTACCAATATTTTTTAAAATAAATTGTTTAAATATTAATGTAGAATGTGTATGGATAAAAAAATTCTTCCACTAGATTTAACTGAATACCAATTTTTTTCTAGTCCAGGATCAATTATAATCATGGATCTGACCAGTGTTTTTTGTTAATTATTTGTTTAAATTAATCTTAGATACAATATTTTTAGAATTCTATCAAATTTCTGAGCAGTATTATTTTTGCATTTGATAAAACACAAACTAGTCATTTTTTATTTTCTATTTTTAATTGTTATCATTCAGTACATTTGACTGTTATTTGTGATTCCCTGTAAGTTATATTTTATTTATTTTCCATGATTAATATTTCGTGTCACCATGAATCTTCAAGTTATTCTTTTTTAGTTTAATGTATATAACTACAAATCTTTTGGTAAATTTTTGTAAATTGTTGATTAATCTCAGTTTTGGGCAAATTTTAAATTTTGATTTAAGTAATTTTTAACAGTCATTTAAAATCTTAATTTTTATTTTAAAAATGAAACTAATTAACTTAATATTGAATGTTTATTCATTGAAATTTAATTTTTGTTACTAATATACTCTTAGGTTCAAAATATTTTATATGGGTGTATTAAATCATTAATTCTTCTATAAATCTAAAAAAAAATTATATCTGTTATTTGTGGCTTAATTTTCTTGAAAAAAAATATTTTTTAATCCAATTCAATGGTTGAGTTGTTTGTTTGCTTAATATTGTTTACGTAAACAGTAATGTGAAAGAAAGACTATTCAAAATATTAACATTTCACTTTCTATATTATAATAATTGTTATTACAATTTGTTATTTGTTAAATGACAAATGTTGTTCTGATTCTTCCATTTATAATTTTAATTTAATGATAAGGTTTTGTTTCCAAAAAATTTAATTCAAATTACTATTTAATATTTAAAAAAGTAAAATTGTGATAATTTTCACTCCGCTTATACTATTATTTATAACACCATTCAATAATTCAATCAAAATAAGTGTTTTTAATACATGTCCATTATATAATGCAGTGCTATATACATAAAACATCTCCTTTCAGTTAATAATTAATAAGTTATATAAAGAAATATAATGTGTTCTATGAACAAATTAGGCCTAGTTAATCTTTTATATTAACAATCATGGTAGATATGTAAATAAATTATTATTCAAATTTATGTATGTCTATATAATAATTATTTTAGTATAAATATTGTAAAATAATTAATATTTATATTAATAATCTACCATTTAACTATTGTGTTTTGTTTTTCATATAAATGCCCTTAGATAGCATATTTTGTGTTCAATTAAGTGGCCTTTATATATTAAATTTTAGTAAAATATGCAATACATGATTAAGACACAGATCATTTTAGTATTGTTAAAGTTTTTCATTATCCATTTCCTAATAATTATAAAATGTTTAACACTATTATCAATATGAGTATTTAGCTAACAAAACATTTATTATCTGTTTTTATTTTCAATATATATTCTTAAACTCAAAATTTAATTAAATACCAATAACGATTTTTTTTATATTTATTCTATAACTTTAATTTAATTTAAATGTTTTTAACCATTACTAACAGGGTTTTATGTCTTTAGTCATACTATTTTTACACAACTTAATGACACATCACTGACTACTTTCACAATTGTAGTAATATTATAGCATATAATAATTATGTTGGTCTAGTCTATTAACAATATTTTTTGTAAATATTTTATTTTAACAAATTTCTTTATTTGTGGTATTAGATTAACTACATTTTACATTAATGATTTATGACTTCTGAATTACTAAATTTTAAAATATTTTTAGTTATATTAATAATTAATAACTATTAATAATAATATTGAATATCATAAAAACTTTATTTGGATTCTAAATAAAGATCATTCCTTAAATATATATCATATTTTAAGTATAAATAATAGTTATATATATATAATTAATCATCGTATAACTATTTATTTAGTCTCAAAGCTGTTTAGAACATTTTAATTACTATTCATTGTAAATTATGTTTTTTTCTTTACAAATTTAATTATTGTTCTAATAAAACAATTGAATTATCGGAAAACAATGCAAAGTTTTATTTTATGTTAAAAATAAAAATATTTAAGTATAATCCTATTATTAAAAAAATGTTTTTTAAATTTTATTTTAATTATTTTTAAGTGTATACTCTTATAAAATGAACATTTTTAAATTATAGTACATTTTCTACATTATTATAAAAAAAAACCTAAATTTTATTAAACCAACATTTTTATGAGCTGTTATATATGCTAAGAACATTTTTTATGATCCATAATATTTTAAGTTAGTCAAAAGGCTGTAAAAATTAAAACTTGTATTTTTCTTTCTGTTAAATTGTAAATAATTTTTAAATAAAAATAAACCATTTAAGTTTTAGTAACCATACATTAAACTAAATTTATTTATTTTTAAAACTTATTTAAAATATGTTACAAATTAATTAATTCTATTATTGTAACTGTTTTTTTGTATAATTTTTAAACTTAAAAATATTTTTTTTTTTGCTAAATTTTCTAATAATTTAAAAAATATGGTAACTCATACATATTAAAATTATAGAGATTTATTTATAAATTTTAGAATAAGTTCTATACAAATTGCATATTTCTGTTTTAGCTACACAATTAAAAAACCATCACTTAAAGCGGGAAATATCTTTTGTAAGCATATGTTCCTTGCCTTAATTTTTGTGTAGTATTAAATTAAAAAACAAACTGATTGTTTAGGCATTTGTATAAATTATTCATTAAAATGCATTAATATTAAGTTTCTGTTGAGTATAAGATGAGTAAATCATGTTATTGAGGCACAGTAATTTCTCAAGTGTATATAAATTATAGATTAAAATTAAGTAGATACGTTTACCAACCATAAATAAAAGTTAAAACAATGAAAAAAAAATGTTATTGCACATTTTAGGTATAACAGATAGTTAATTGAATAAGAAAATATTATTAATCATTTACATTGTGAGCTTTTCAAGTTGTTTTTTCTCTCTTTCTGTCTATTATTTAAGATATTTTTTATACTTAAAAACATTTTCACATTAATTATTATAAATGTGTATTAATTAAGTTCTTAATGATTAAACTACAATTTTAATCTCTGCTAAGGATACATGAAAATATGAAAATTTTCATCTCAACTAATTTTCTAATTTTCATTCTTTATTATAATTACACTTCAATGTATATGGATAAATATATGAGTTTCAAAAATATAAAAATATTCTTAATTTTTAAAGAATCAGCCCAACAAAAATGATTATTTTATTTTATTAATATTTATCTTGCCTTATGCTGCTAGTGTTCTTAATTTTTTTAAGTATAAATATATAAATAAAAAACACCTTGAAATCTCATAAATACTACAAGTATATCGAACAAATTGTTTCACATTTATAAGCAAACATTAAGTACAACGTCCTAGTCACATTGTCATCACCAAGGTATTTTTAATTAAATTTGTTTTGTTTTATTATTTTAAGTTATTGATTTTAATGTTAAATACATCTATATGTGTAAGTTAAGTTTTTCAGTATTATTATTTAAGTTAAATTTTTATTATTGTATTCATGCATATTTATATTATAATATATGTTTACATTTTGTATGTTTATCATATCTTTAAGTATTTATGTTAAACGTGTGTTTCAATGAAATTAATTACTTTATTTGTTCTTAGCTCTCAAACTATATAAATTTATGTATGTTGTTGTATTTTGTTTTTAAATCATATTATTTTATACTTTTGTGCCAAAATGAGTGTTTCAATAATTAATTTTTTTACCTGAAAATTAATAATTTTTATTAATTATTTAAAAACATTTATTTTAATACCTCGCGCTTGTCATCACTAATCATTCTATAATCAATTTGTGTTGTAATTTTTATTTATTTTTAAATATTTTTGATGTTAATTATATAATATTATATTATGTTTTTACTTTGGCAAAAAGTACTAGTTGTAGCTTACAATAAAATGTAATTATCACATTGTTGTTTTGTTTTTTAAAATAATATATCAAAAGAGCCTTAATATGTTTAAATTGATGTTTTTATTTCAATAAAACGATCATTATATCAGTGCTGGTGTGGGGATACATACCCCGGTAATGCGCTTTATTAGGCCTCACAAAATAGTGGTGTAATTAGTGTTTAAATAATCCAATCCAATCAGAGTACGGATCCATTGTGCTAGACTGTAAAGGTTCTTTTGTCCTTTATCCTCAAGTATAGATTTTTAGAAAAGACGTTAAGTATGAGTATAATAATAGTAATATTTTTCATGGAAGAAAGTCATTTGGGGCACAACGGCCCCATTTTTTTTAATAGCCAATGAGATTTCATTTTTTTCAAATATGAGCATTATTTACAAAAAAAAAAAAACTTATTATTGTCGTAGATTAAATACACTTATATAGGTGACACTGAAAACCTTTTTGGCAGTTCAATTTTTATCAAGAATAGACACGGCGAAACGATTATAACGAAGCGATTATGCTGATAGATAGCGTAATTTTTGAGCCTTCCGATTAGTTGAATTATACGCGGTATTTAAAATTTTTGAATAATCATTAAATAAATATATGTACATTGCCTAACAGCATCGACATCCCTGGGTACTTTCCATAATACGATTTAATACCCAATCGGAAGTACTGGTGGGCTCTACAGAGTGATTGATTGACTACGCCTCACAAACTATCTCTGAGAATATAAGAATTATCTTTTTTTTCTTTATGAAATATTATGTTTCTATCTTGGAAGTGAATAAAATTACATTTTTATGATCATCCCTTATGCTTTAAATCAGTATCAACTTTCAATATTCAAATGATAACCTTATTTTTTTATATAATTAGTTTAGTTTTAGTTTTAAACAAATTTTTTGTAAAAATGG